TTCCTTTGACCTCATGATTCTCATTTGCTCTGACATGCACTGTGAGCTGTAAGGTCTTATATAGACAGGTGTGTGGCTTTCCTAAACAAGTCCAATCAGTATAATCAAGCACAGCTGGACTCAAATGAAGGTGTAAAACCATCTCAAGGATGATCAGAAGAAATAGACAGCACCTGAGTTAAATATGAGTGTCACGGCAAAGGGTCTGAATACTTATGACCATGTGATATTTCAGTTTTTCTTTTTTAATAAATTTGCAAAAATTTCTACATTTCTGTTTTTTTCTGTCAAGATGGGGTGCTGAGTGTACATTACTGAGAAATAAAATGAACTTTTTTGATTTTTGGAAAATGGCTGCAATGAAACAAAGAGTGAAAAATTTAAAGGGGTCTGAATACTTTCCGTACCCACTGTATGTTTTAAGAAGGGACTTAAAAGAGTTCACTGACTCAGCCGACCTGATTTCCTCGGGCAGGCTGTTCCAGAGCCTCGGGGCCCTGACAGCAAACGCTCTGTCCCCTTTAGTTTTCAGTCGAGACTCTGGAACAGACAACAGACCTCTGCCCGAGGATCTCAAGTTACGTGCTGGTGCGTATGGGACTAAAAGGTCAGAAATATAACAAGGCGAGAGGCCATGAAGAGCTTTAAAAGTGATCAATAGAATTTTAAAGTCAATTCTAAAACATACTGGGAGCCAGTGTAATGAAGCTAAAATAGGAGTAATGTGGTCATATTTCTTTGTTCTGGTTAAAAGCCTGGCAGCTGAGTTCTGGACAGTCTGGAGTCGATCAGTAGATTTTTGGGTTAAACAGGTGAAAAGGCTGTTGCAATAATCCAGGCGTGATGAGATGAAGGCGTGTAAAATGGTCTCGGTATCCTTAAAAGTTAACATAGATCGAATTTTTGCTCTATTTCTAAGTTGATAAAAACATGATTGAACAAGCTTTGTGGTGTGCTGCTCGAAATTTAAATTACTATCAAACCAAATACCAAGGTTCTTTGCCACAGGCTTAATGTGATTTACTAGGGAACCAGCAGATGGCAGTATTTGATTTGCCATCTGCTGAGACCCGATGACCAGGATTTCTGTTTTGTCTGAGTTCAGCTGGAGGAAATTATTTGACATCCATTTTTTAACTTCACAAAGGCAGTTGTTAAGTGAACTCAGCATTCCAGGGTCTGTGGATCTGACGGGCAAGTATATTTGTGTGTCATCAGCATAAATATGAAAAGAAATGCCATGTTTATGGATAATATGTCCAAGGGGAAGCAGATACAAGGAAAACAAAATGGGTCCTAAGACCGACCCCTGAGGCACACCATATTTAACTGGACAGAACGAAGAGACATAGTTGTTTAAAGACACGCAAAACTTCCTATTTGACAGGTAGGATGAAAAACATTCTAGGGCAGTACCAGAGATCCCCACCCAGTGCCTCAGTCTGTCTAACATGATGTTGTGATCAATGGTGTCAAATGCAGCGCTAAGGTCCAGGAGTACAAGGACTGAGCACATGCCTTCATCAGCAGACATTAAAAGGTCATTGGTGACTTTAAGCAGGGCAGTCTCAGTGCTGTGGTACTTCCTAAAACCAGACTGAACCTTTTCAAATAATTTGTTATTTTCCAGTACAGCGAGTAGCTGTTTGGACACAATTCTTTCTAGAATCTTTGCAATAAAAGGCAGTTTTGAAATTGGTCTAAAATTATGTGGGAGGGAGGGATCTAAACCAGGTTTCCTTAAAAGTGGGTTCACGCAAGCCGTTTTAAAATAATCAGGGACACAACCAGTAGATAGGGAGCTGTTGAAAACAGAGATCAAATGGGGCCCAACAGAATCTATTACTTTCAGTAAAAATTTTGTAGGTATTACATCAAGTGGGCTGGAGGACACTCTCATTTGTGATACTGTTTTTAAAAGCTCAGACAAGTCGATGGGATAAAACTGGTTAAAACTCTCTTGTTGCTGGTGAGGAACCTCTGAGTAAGAGGCCACGGGGGTAATAGAGGCTCTGATTGACACCACCTTATTGGTAAAATAAGATAAAAACAATTCACAGTCATCATTACTTCCAGCTGAGGCACAAGGAGGGGTTGGGTTTACCAGCTGATCCACAGTCAAACAGAAACCTGGGATTGTGTTTATGTGTAGTAATGAGTTCAGAAAAATAGTGTGTTCTCGCATCCTTAGCCTTGTTATTGTAGTTAATTAATAAATCCTTCAGACTGAGGTAATGGACTTGGAGACTGGATTTTTTCCATCTGCGCTCTGCTTTCCTCCATTCCCTTTTTAGGCTGCGAATGCTGTCATTTATCCAGGGTTGCTTACTAGCTTTAGACGTAGGCCTAACCTTTAGAGGAGCAGTAATATTTAGTGACGACAAGCAGATATAATTGAAGTGATCGACCAGATTGTTGGTGTTGGAATCAGACAGGTGTTTGCTTTGGCTATGAAAGAATGTGCAACACTTTGAAACACTTTGTTCATTAAAGATGCGAGAACACACGGAGCTTGGTGAGGCGGCATGAGTAACAGGCGAATCGCAGCTAAAAACAATACATCTGTGGTCAGATATGGTCATGTCCACCAATTCCACAGAGGAAATGCTGACACCCAGGGTAAAATCCAAGTCCAGTGTATGACCACGGTTATGTGTTTGCCCTGTGACATGTTGTTTGAAGTTAAAAGAAGTGGCCATATTTAAAAAATTAGTTGCATTAACATTGGTGGGGTCATCAACATGAATATTAAAATCGCCACAAAGAACAATTCTGTCATAATTTAAAACCAGAGTAGATAAAAATTCAGGAAGTTCTGATAAAAATCCTCCAGGCGGTTTTGGGGGGCGATAAATTATAACAAATATGATAGGTTGCAGCCCTCCAACTTTAAGAGTGAGAACTTCAAAGGAGTTAAATTTATCACAGCGTACTTGATGACATTTTAAAATTTTCCTATACACGCTCACTAGCCCACCACCACGACCACTGACCCTCGGTTGACTAAAACAATCATATTGAGGCGGACACAGTTCAGCTAGCTGGCTATAGTCATTCATTTGCAACCATGATTCAGTTAAAAACATAAAATCTAGATTTGCAGACAAGATAAAATCATTTAAGATAAAAGTCTTACTTGAAAGTGATCTCACATTGAAGAGAGCCATTTTAAATGAGTTTGTTCTGGGTGCTGGAGTTGGTGCAGTTGTCCTAATCCTTAAGCGATTACTAATATTTCTGTGTGGGATGTGCACATTTCGGTTTACTGGTCTATGCGTGATGATGACAGGAATAGAAGTCTTTGGAACAGCGCTGGGAGCAGACGGCTTTACATGCCAGCAGGTGGAGACAGTTGTTTGTGGCAGTGAGCCAGAGATCTGTTCAGTGAGCAGTGGTGCGTCCAGGTGTGCTGCATGAATGATTAGTCATTCACGTAAATCATGTGTGGACCGCACCACATGCTGTATGTGCGCAGCTAACATTTCTGAGCCCCGTTTGTTTGGGTGAAGTCCGTCTGTCTTAAAAAGAGACATTCTTTGCCAGAAAATATTAACATTATCCACATAACACACACGGTGAGCCCTGCAGGCGGACTGGAGCCTGTCGTGGAGGCCAAGGAGTCTACTGAAGCGGCCAGCACCGCGACCAACTGTGGGAATGGGACCAGAGATAAAAACGGACTTTCCACACTGCTTTAAAAAGTTAAAAAGACGGTTAAAATCTGATTTTGTCAGCTCAGACTGCCGAAGAGCTGTGTCATTTGTTCCGACATGGACTATCACTCTTGTGATGGAGGTAGTGTGGATATAATGGTAGTAGTAGTTGTAGCTAAGATTCTCCAGATTGAGAGCTCTGATATCTTTTATGGCTGCTTGGCAAAGCTGTTAGTGTCTAGGGATAGCTTGGCAAGAATCACTGCAAACTGGAATGAACTGAAACTCAAATGTTTGATGCATCTTGGGTGGATCCACCTGAAGAATGTTAAAAGCAATTTACTCAAACTAGAAATGGTAGTATTTAAACACTATTTTACATTATTAAGGTGGACAGCAGTGGTGGACTGGTAATCTGGTATACATTTTCCCGGTGGGCTGATGCACTTTGGGACCTGGTCATCTGGCAATACATAAATTAAATTGCTAAGGACTGGCCCATAAAGCAGAGGCTTCTACCCATTGGTTCATTTCCTATAATGACATCTCTTACTGGGCTGGCCCCACCCCTCCCCCTTGTCCTCTAAAAGCTGTAATTGTAATCAATTACTTCTGTAACTCTACAGCACTAAATGTATGACTGCTTATTTATTAGCAAACAAAGTTATCCTATGTTAATTTAATTGATTTTAATAATTTGTCATAACTTTTATGATGTATATAGTATAGATTACTGTTATTACTATCTGTGGGGTACTGCCTACGTGTAGGCTGCTCCAGACCTTTCTCCACCTACAGGACGTTGTCTATAACTGCTGTCCAGTATGCATGCACATTCAAGTGGTAGGCACACAATTCAGTTATCAGTTAAACACCTTTTCATGTTCTGAGATAATAATGCCATGACTGAACTTTTTTAAACCGCTCAATAAAATGTTTCACTCACCATCATAGAGAGGTCAAAACCACAGCAGGAGAAAGAAGCACAATGTTAAACCAGGCCATCACTGCGTGTGGCTGAGTGTAACCAAGGCATATTTATACATGCATATAAGCATCACAGACGCACACACCCACAGGCACAAGCCTGACAAGAATAATCTTATTTTCTAGAAAAAAAGTCCCTTGTCCTCACAGAATAATATCATGTTACAGAAGTTCTGTACAGTAATATTTTTCTTTATGTAATGATTAGACGTTTTCCAGTTCTCCCTGTTACACATTCAGAATAGATATGTTAAGAATACTTTCGTACCTACGCTTAAGACCGAAATGACTAGACTAATGGCAACACAGATTTACCATATTTACATATTTATTAGAAGAGTGAAGAATTCAGTAGAAAACCAATGCACTGACATTCAAATACACATTATGACCAAGTGCAAGCAACAATTATTGCACATTGAATTTCTTTTCAGCAGTATCATATGGCGATAAATAATCAATTTGTAGTCATGCATTATAATGATTTAAACACACAGTATTGTAGGTTTTGTTTCACAATAATATGGCCATTACTTTGTAATATAGGTGTACAGTAGCTGTATATGAATAGCACCTTTGTCTAAATAGTATGCATGGAAAGGATGCATGCAGTAAAGTCTGATAACACAGTTTTTCTTGAAACAGCTAGTAACTTTTAAAAAATACATCTGAAAGGTAGACATCTGATTTTTGAATCAAATTGGCAGAATAATATAGGTGCAGTAGTTAAGTCTTTTTACTACGATATACATTGTGAATAACAGCAAAAATTTGTCAATGTCCCGTATGTATGGTCCTGAAAAGCTGGAGCAACAGTGAAGAAAACTGGACATCATTGCCACTGGTCAAGGTGATGCCAAGTCATGTTTGGCGGCGCAGGTTTTGGAGAACCTGTCTTGTCTAAGGATGAAACAAAATCTGCATTAATTCTGTCTGTTATAATTTCATAAGGTGAATATATTGTCAGTGTGGAGATTTGTTTTAAACTGTCACAGCAATGTGTCTACAAATGATCAAAACCTCTATGCTGTTGTGTTTCATCCTCACATCCATCTGATGTGATTCACACTCTCCAGCTGTCTCCAAACTCTTGAATGCACTTGGCTCTGGTACCATCTGGCTTCACCCAGTCATTCCACTTCAAACCGTCAAAGTTCCCACACAGACCCCCCACCGTCCTTTTATATATGTTTGGTAGAATGATCTCTGCAGGAGCAAAATCAAGAAAATAATGTCACTTAATTCACTGCATAACTCTCTCCTGGAGAAAGTAAATACTTTGGGATGGAATAATATGTTGTGATTTAAGTTCTGGTTCTACTGCTAATCCTATTTGACTTGTTTAATGAGGTGAAGATTAGTTACCTGTTGTGTGTCCGCTGAACACCACTGAGAGGCCAAAATCAGTCTTCAGGTAGATGCGAGAGGACTGCTCCCAGATTTTTAGACCAGCAGTGGGTGAGACGGGAGTATTAGTTATTGTTCCGTCCACCTGGAGGGAGACAGAGAGACACTTTTCAACTAGCCCCTCCCATGAGGTAAAATTTTAAATTTGTAATGTATGACCATATACCTGTAAAAATGAAATGTCCTTGATACTTACAGCCAGTGTCCGATTCTCCTTGAACTCCACAGTGTGATTGTACACTCTGATCTTAAGCTCTTGTATTCTGTGGTGTTCCTTATGAACTTCACTATGGGCATCACGTTTGTCATCATCATCATCATCATCATCATCTTCATCGTCATCTTCATCGTCATCTTCATCTTCCTCTCTGCCTCTGTGTTCTACTTCACCACTACTGTCATCATGATGCGGACTATCATCGTCATCATGTGTGGTGTGTGTATTGATGCCCTCGATGTAGACATCTGGAAGGTTACTTGGCAAGTTGTTGGTCCTGACCAGCACATACGAGTGCTCACCCTCAAAGCCATACGTCATTTTATCAAAGGTTCTGTATTCAGGGTCTCCCTTGATAGTGCACTTACTGAAACCTGTGGAGCAACAAGTGTAGAGAAAATTTGTAATTTAGTGAGTAAGATGTAACATCATTTGGATACATCAAAGAGTTAAATGTTGACCTCTACATCACCTGTAGACTGGCAGTAATAATGGCCCTCCTTGTTTTGAAGGCAGACAGCATTTCGTTTGCACTCATATTTGTCATCGCAGTCAATCTTCCCCACGCCCTTGTTTTTCTTACATTTACATTTCTCACTGCAGTGATTGGTGTACCACACTTTATTGAACTGACAAGAAAGAGAGTGTCATCATACTGCCCATACCATATCCACATTCACCATTTTTCATAAAACTGAACTGTCACTCACCTGATGTTTGGTGCCACTCCCATCCACACATCCACAGTGTTGTATCGGCACACAAACCATCAATTTCTGCACAAAGCCTTCATCACATACACATCCCTTCACACAACCCATATTGTCCCTGCAGTTTGGTGGACCGTTCAAGTATGTACAGGTTGGACTGCAGGCAGGCATACAAGTGGTGTAGTGACTGTTCTTTGGGCAAGAGGGTGCTAGAGAAAGAGAGAATGGTAGAGACATCGTGTAGAGTTATACTTGGTTATAGGCTTAAAATGACAAACAAAAACTAGAACTGCAAGCAGTTGTAAGCGCGGTCCAAGCCTCCTGGCGCAAGCCGCCCCCGCTGGCCCTGAGGAGGGTGTGCGAGTTGGTCCGGGCGCCCTGCCGTCGTACCGCATGTTTGGTGTTGATGGGCCATTCCAAACAGAGGCAAAACGTCCTGCCTTTGAGGAATGGGATTTAGTGAGATTTCAGCTTTGCTTTTAGCACCACCTTTTGCACCAAAATTGTCATGTGTGATCAGTTGTGGTTGTGGAGATGTAAAATGCATGTAAGTCTATGGGATTTTTTTGAATAGCGCCACCTTTTTTCAGATCAAAATTCCATCTACAAAATTTCTTCGGCTCAGTCCAGAGATGGTCTGTGCCAAGTTTCATGCCCATCGGACTTGCTGCTTCGGAGGAGTTAATTAAAATAGGTTTTCCAGTTTCCGCGATTTCGCGAAATGAGAACGTCATCGCACAGAGGCATGTCCTATACCATTGGAATCGGCAGCATCCCCCAAACAAGTAGACATAAGGTTTATGAATGTGCAATGTAGTGAGCCGAAGTTATCCTGCAAAATGTGCTTTGGTTGAAAATCCCATTGAAATGAATGGGGTATTTGAGCTTTGATTATAGCACCACCTTTTGGCTGAAGTGCACCAAATTTTTCAGGTGTCATCAGGGCAATTGACCCAAATTTGGTGTCAATTGGACTTGTGGTTATGGAGATATAAAATGCATGTAAGTCAATGAGTATATATATTTTTTATCTGCAATAACAGCGCCACCTATGGGTATATTTGGGTGAAGTTTGGTGCCTGTAGTAAGGGGACCATGCTGAACAATTTGGCACTGGTTTCATGTCAGTGTGATTTGTGGTTATAGAGGAACAATTTCTTGTATTTAATAGCGTATTTGCACAGGCCCTCAAGGGGGTGTCCCACATTACCGCTCCAAATTTGGTGTCGGTCGGCCATTCAAAAGTGAAGATATGACATCATTCAGTTAGTAGCGTTTTTCGCAAGCGTTTGCTAGCATATAATTGCGACGTTTTTTTTGGATCAAAATTTCCTCTACAAACTTTCATCAGCTTGGTCCAGAGATTATCCGTGCCAAGTTTGGTGTTGATCAGACTTGTGGCTTCAGAGGAGTTAATTAAAATAGGTTTTTCAGTTTTCGCGATGTGGTGAAAAAAAAAGTCTAGGCGGGGCCTATACCACGAGATTCAGCTCGATCCCCGAATGCATGGATATAAGGTTTTTGATATCCGCCGTTGTAGGCGGGAGTTAAAGGCCAAACGCGTTGACCTTGCTTATAGCGCCCCCTAGAGGTAGACTTGTGCGGATTTTTGCGCCTGAGTTACGTGCAGTGAACTGGAGCTACCCTAGGAGTTTCTGTCTAGGCTGCAGTATGAGTTTTATGCACGGAAGAATAAAAAATAAAAACGAGAACGAAAACAATAGGGTTCCCAGCTCCGCTGGTACTGGGAACCGCGATGCCTTGCATTTGCGGATTCCCAGACCCACTCGGGCTTGGATCCCTAATGAATATACCATTGTTATTTTTTCTTAGCGTATCTTATATCACAGGTGAGTTTTGCCAAACATGTGAGGTGTATGATGTACATGAAGTTTACATTATGGAAAACCCAGTACATGTTTAAAAATAGAAAAAAAAAAATTTCTAACTTACTTGGTACAGGTGTGGTTGGTGGTTGTGGTCTAACTGTTGTTGGTGGCTGTGGTTCAGTTTCAGTTGAAGGGTGGGGTCTTGTTGTGGTTGGTGGCTGTGGCTGAGCTGTGGTTGGTGGGCTAGTTGTTGTTTGTGGCTGTGGCTGTGTGTGCGATGGTGTCTGTGGTTTTGATGAAGTAGATGTTTGTGGTTGTGCAGCGGTTGAGCTGTTCACTGGAGGAATCTCTGGACCTTCTGTTGCAACTGGATTGAAGGTTGTGGGAGCAGGGGTTGTTGGTTTAGCCAGGTCTGAAACGGCATTTCACAATCATGGCACTCATAATTTTTCAGTTAAGATGTGTATGAACTAAACTGAAGACCAGTAGGAGGACAGAATTACCTCTGCAGTGCCCATGATAAAGAGATACATCATCTATGGCCACATCAGACTGATTGTTGGAACCTCTTCGCCCCTCAAAAATTATCTAAAATTAATTGAACAGGTTAATACAGTATCTGCAATAGCGTACAGATTCAGTAGGTCCTATTACACTCATTTATTGTTGCAGCTATTAATTACACTGTTTTGGTCTGCAGGTTTCTAACATTAGATGTTAAATAACATCTTAGGTCGGTAACTCACCTGGAAAGCTCCAGTTGTTGTCAAGTCCACCTGAGCCAGGTGCCACATATTTCCTTGATCATTACTCTTCCACCAAACAGCATCAGCCAGTCTGTCCTGGAACAAGTAGACATGAAGGCCCATTGTATCGGCTGAACCGTGCATATGGTACCAGAACTGCAGACACTGAGGACCAGAGTCAGAACACTCAGAGCTGATGAGTCGGGCAGTGTCCCCATATGACACACTACTGGCCTCAATGTAAAGATAGTGGCCATCTAGAAAAGAGGAATTAAATTAGATATACTTTCCACGATGAGCCAAACTTTATCCTTACCTCTGATATTATCCATCACCATTTATATGATTACATAGAGGATAGAGTATCTTACCACCAGTGTGGTCAGCAGACGGCCCAGTCATCAGGGTGGGGGTGGAACCATTTTTCCATGTCCAGTCAAAAGCATCTGTGATCATCTGATTCCAGCTGCAAAGGTTGCTGTCAAAGCTACAGTCAATATAGCACACTACAAGGGAAACGTTTGAAAAACAAAAACATGAACTTAGCATTGAGGCCCTTGTGCAACTTATTGAAGATTTAGACAGTCATTAAAAAAATGTATTAATTCAGTTTTTATGGGACTAGACACAAATGTTAACTTGTCACCACACTTAAGCTTTCTGATGCAGAAACAAGTGGCCCATAAAATTATACTTCTTGTACAATTATCTGGGTGTGAGGGGAAGTTGTGGAAAGAAAGCTCAGTTCCACTAATGAGGCCAGGTAAGCGACCAGGGATGGAAATTAGCACCCACCACCCGTCAAATGCGGGTGGATTTTCTGTTTGGTGGCAAATTGTTAGAAGGCTTTTGGCAGTTAGCCAATATGGCTACATGATATAGCATCACACCAGTGTTATACCAAGGTTTACATGCCTGCCGAGAATTGCATGTAGCTCTCAATACTGCTTTTTTAAACGCTATAATATTTGTGGGGTTCATCAATGTTGATCAATGATTCGAAGTATATATTTTATGAATGTGTAGAGTCCTTAATATTTTAATACACTTAGTAGAAGTAACATTCCTTGACTTTCAGCAAATATATGTGGTGATAACTGCGTTTGGTGTGCAGAGCAAAGTGTCTGAAAAGGGCCTTAAGAGGCAGATGCATAATTTGGCGACTGGAACACATGCAATTCATAGTTTTCACGTGACGTCACATAGGGCTGTCGCGGTGAAGTAATTTCCACCTCGGCAATATGTTGGGGCTCAACAGCGCGGTATGCGGTATTATCGCATTTTTCATCACTGAAGTAATTTGGTGCCATATAACAGTACTGCACAGCGAGCCGCTAAAAGCAGCTTTATGGTCTGAGCAAGCTAGCTGCTGTGTGCTAGTCAACAACATTGCCAAAAAAACTCCTTTTTGTGGTTTGACCTGTCTTTTTCAGAGCGGTTGTGGAACTTTTGAAGCATTCATTTATTAATTTAACACGCCCTGAAGTGTACAGTATGAACATTGTTTTGCCCTCCAGGTCACCGCACATGTCACGTGACTGAAAACTATGAATTGGTCTGTGTTTCCTTTGAACCAGTACAGTAAATGCTAGAAAAGCTGCGCAGGTTAAAATAGAAATGCTGTTTCTATGCTGTACACAGCTGCAGGGTTAGCCTGACAGTCGATGTGCTAGCAGCTAGGGTTAGCCTCCTTTGTGTTTCTACATTGTTAGAAATTAAAAATGTACTGTTGAATAAGGTTTTCATATCTTAAGTACATTAGTATATATTCCTATTACTTCATAGTGAACAGTTTCATCTTCAGTGATAATATTTTGTTATCTTGATTTATAAGATTTAGTTGGATCATTTTGAATACACATTTGCGGAAACCTTCTTTGAATGACAGAACCACTTTTGCACATGTGCAGAACGGATCCGGCAAGCATTGGATTTGGCACTGATACTAATGAATAACCACCCTTCGACTGTATATAGAAGTGGACGTAGTGTTCGTGACATCACCTGTTGGTTTGTGGACTGTCATTTTGAAGCCTCAAGTTTGGCCGATAGGGCGCCGCCATGTTGAGTTTTTGCAACCAGCAGCACCGTGATGCAGGGTTATAAAGTTTTATATAAAGTTTGGAGTGAGACTATGTGTGTTAGAGGACGAGCCACTCAAAAATTTGCAGCAGTGGCCCCTTGGCCCCAGCCAATCCTCTCAAGTTTTTACAGGCAGATAAACTTTACCTATAGTTCGTAATTGATCCGAACAAATAGAAATGATAACAATAACTACATCTGATAAAAGACTATTTAAATATATATACTTATATTTCAAAAATACAAATGTATCAAAATAAAAAGAAATTTGGCCCCAAACGAGCCCACTGAACAGCAGTGCTCAATGTATATTGTACACATAGGCCTAGGATTGCTTAACTTGCCCTACATAGGTATGCCAAGCTGTGTGTGTGAGTAGACTACACGTCAGCTTATGAATGGTGTTTTGTGCTGTAAGTGTTTGTTGCACATTTTAATGACTTGATGACGGGTAGTGGGCTCCCACTTAAAGCCCTGTGCCTCAAGGCCAGCCATTTTCACCATCATGATGGATGATAGCTTTCCATCCAGAGCCAAAATATAGAAAAACATCTCTAGTCCTTTCCTTAGTTTCAGGTAGCCAATGCTAAGCCCAGTGGTGGAGAGTAATAAAGTATTACTGTAGCTATTTAAGTACATGAGGTATTTGTACCGAACTTGAGTATTTTCTTTTCATGGCACTTTCTACTTCTACTCCACCACATCTCAAAGGGAAATATTGTACTTTTTACTTGATCTGACAGCTTCAGTTACTGGTTACTTTAAAAAATTTGCTTTTTACACACAAAACGTATGAAGAGTTTAAAAAATAGGACATTTTGATATAAATTAAATTACTTAACAGTTTATAGAAGTCCAGCTTGTAGAATTACATCAGTTAGGCTAATTGATAGAAATTGAATTGGCAACTGTTTGGTATTAGTAATTTTTCAAGTAAAAACATTTTGCTGCTTTTAACTTTGATTATTTTAATGTATTTTCAATCATTTTGAGGTTTGGACTGACAAAACAAGCATTGTGAAGGTCTCACATGGGGTCTTGGGTAACTGACATTTCTCACTATTTTCTGAATTTATAACAATCGAATTATAGAGAAAACAATCAGCTGAATAATACATAATAAAAATAATCATTAATTTCAATGCAGTACTTGCAGAGTTTTTTTACAGTGAGGTATTAGTACTTAATTTTTTTTTAAAGGATCTGTTAAGTTGCTAAGTTACTTTGTTATCACTGGCTAAAAAAGCCAAAGCAGAGCTGCCAACTCTCATGCATTAGGCGTGAGACTCATGCAATTTACACTTTTCACACACCCTCACGCCATACATCAATTTTCTCAGGCACTGGAAAAACTAATGTAGCCTATAGCCTAACTGATAGCATTGACTCGGTGCGATTACACTCCACCCAACTGATGCGACACTGGCGGACCCTGTGACAGGAATCAAGCGAACCCGCTCTTGCACAGTGACTAGCAGACAGTTTGTGATGGGGTAACGTAGCTGGTATGGTTTTGCAATATAAAAATGTATGATCTGAAGCACAGCCTTTCTCTGTTGGGAATGTGAGCTGCACAGAGCTGCTGAAGTTAACGTGTAGATTTGTCGTGAAGTGTTTTCAGTAAGTTTTGTTTTGCACAGGTTTATACAATCCCAAACGGGTTCTGTGTCTGTCTGGGATCATATCAGCAGAGCAAGGAATGAACAGCAGATTATAGGGCGGGGAGATTTTGAAAAATATTGTGAATTATGATTAAATGATGATGTTATTCTCTTAAAAATCTTTTTATGTTAGATAACACAATTATACGGGATAGATGCAAAAAGTATTGAACATTCAGTCCAGGAGTTTCTAACTGAGTTAAAATGAATTAATTTGTCCTTGAGGTGAAAAGGTGCCACATTTAAAGAGAAACTTCCCTTCCCCGAACAAAGACACAAAGAGGAGGGAAGACTAAATCATGAAAGAAAAAGAAATACAGAATGCTTCACAGCCATTCACCTTCTGAATTATATTCTAGTATATTTTATATTTTAAATTGTCACCTGCTGCATGAGTTTTGTGTTTCTGTTGACATAGCTTAAAAACATTTCCACCATAAATTAATGCGGAAAAGGCAGGAATTGGTGCAGAAACTTTCACCAGAATGCAGGAAATTGAGTGTTTAATGCTAAAGATTTGTTGGGGGGAAAAGCCCCCAGACCCCCCGCCTAATTATTTGGCTCGTCCATTGCTAAAGGAAACCTATGCTCTTTCTTATTATGAACTTTAATATTCCATACATTCTCTAGAATTAAAAGAAATACAATCTCTTGTTTGACACATAGATTCTGTGGGGGAAGACTCCCCAATACATAGTAAGGTTTGGTCAAAATTAAGGCTATCATGTCTAGAGGTTGGCAAGTATCTTGATTACACTGATCTGACCATGATTATTGACTTGGCTTTTCATCTACACATACATGTGGCAGTTGAACTTTTTAAACAAAATTAAAGAGTGATGACCCTGCCATGGGATGTAACACAGAAGGTCTAAAATGAGCTGACCTCAAGGGCGTTATCTCATAACTTACTTCTCAGCGTGAGAAACACAAGGTCTGACGCGTGAGGCTTGAGTGTCCTGGTAACGTGACCATATTTGGAAGAGATGGTGGAGCTAACAGCCGTGTGTGGCGCTAGTTAGCTTGCTTAGCTAGGTGCATCTGTAATTTAAGTTAACTTTCATTTTAACAGGGCTCACAATTTTTTTCTAGCAAACACCAGTCTTAAAACTAAATGTACTCACCAGACGCTTTTTCAATGACTCTGTTTAAATTTACACAGTGCCATGGGTACGAGTCACTCTAGCCTGATTGACAGGTCGCCATGGTAACAACTTGTCAATCATGGATAATCCCTCCCTGAAGCATACTCTGCTTTATGATCTATTTTCCTCTAAATGGGACCATAATTTACTAAATGAACATCATGTTTTAGGTAATAAATCAGCTGAGAAGTAGGGTAATTTTACCATTATTTCTAATGAAACCGGTCTTCTTTTTGCAACCAGAAGAGTCGCCCCGCTGTCCGTTCATGCAGGTTTAAGGGACTTCCACATTGGATTCACATCTCAGACCTAGCTTCCCACTTGTAACCATCCATCTTAAATGTTAATCATTAATATCAATGCGCAAGTAATTAGATTTTAACTTGCACATTGTGCAAGCTTGGTGACACGCTTGGCTAGCTCCCTGTATTTTCTGTGTGTGAGGCCCAGTGAATGAGAGAGAGAGAGTGGCAGTATCTGTTAATAAAAGTCTGTTTCCCCAACTGCTGAAAAAAGCCAGTTTTTTTGGCTGTGATGTAACGTTAGCTAAATTAGAAACGAAGTAATATTAATTAGCTCAGCTGTATGTCATTATCATCTTACCTACTTGTCAAATGATAATAACATCAGTTACAAGCTTAGATTAAAGTAGTGTACAGCTTTGTTCTGTACACATACTGTATCTTGAGTAGGGCTGGACGATATGGCCAAAACTTATATCACGAAATATTTCTTAATTTCGGTCGAAACAATATAATTCCGATCTTGATATGAACAATATAACAGCCTCAGAAAAACTGCCAAGAATGGCCACAACAGATGCCTGTACAAACTTATGAGAATTATTTTTGCCAAGTCTATGAAACTCCTCCAATATAACATTTTAGAAATAAAAACTGTACAAATAAATTAATGTTCACCTTTTATTTGTATTTAACCTTCAAACAAAGACAATTGAAATCACCATCAAATAAACTCTCACCTTTGTCAATATGAATAGCTTTAACTTTAAACTACAACATAGGCTTATTATGTTATTCTTATAGATTTAAACAAAGGTGCTTCAGCCAGGCAGGGACATTGTTGAGGGTTGATGACAGCCCATGACAGGCTCTAGAGGTTTCTGGCAAGAAATACAAGCTGGTCTACATTATCTGGCTTCAAAGATGCCCTTTTACACGTGACAATGTTGCCACCTGTACTGAAAACCCTCTCAGATGGGGAACTTGTGGCCTGAATGCACAAGTAATGTTTTGCCTGTTTGCTTACTCTGGGGAAGTTCTTATGATAGACTTTCCACCAACCCAGAGGATTTGAGTCATTGTCAGCACCTGGAGACAAAAGGTAGTTACCGAGCTCCCTCTCAACTGCCTGCTGTGCACTCAAGCCTTCTGTGTTGGAAGTGGTGGGCCTGTTTAGAAAAAAAAGCTAGCCACAGACCTCTTTGTTTTCTTGGGTGGTGGCACTGCTGCAGAAGCATCTCCAAAGCCGCCTTCTCTGGACTCCTCTTCTCTTACCACAACAGCTCTCTCTCCCTTCCGCATTTCCAACACTGCCCTCTCTTTGATGTACTCTCTCTTCTCCTCCTGAGTGTATTGAAGTTTGAATCTTGGGTCAACGAGGCATGCCATGTCAAGTAGATCATCCATGGCTGGTACTTTTCGTTGAGGTATCCCATCACTGTTGTCTTTATGGTCCTGGTGAGCTCTGTGTCATCCTCTGCTTCCTTCAAGATGGAGGTGTTTGAAGAGATGCATAACTGGTTTTAAGAATGACACACTGACGTAGGACTCACCGGACAAGGCATCAGTGAATTCAAGGAGTGGGCTTAGAGCTGAATCTATAGACTCTAAAACGTCCACATCTTGCCACGTAGGAACCAGTGACCTGGTCTTCTTGTCCTTTGAGAAGACCTCTGTGATGGCCCTTTTCTGCTCTAGAACCCGCTTCACCATTTGTTGACAGGAGCCCCATCTTGTTGGTGTTTCACTGATGAGCTTGTGCTTTGGAAAGTGAAACTCGTCCTGAGCAGCTGCAAGGTCCCGTTTCTTTTTCAAAGAGTAGTAGAAAACAGCCACAACCTTTTTATAGAGCCCAACTGCTCTGTCCACTCGCTTGTCTTGGTTAACGTTCTCTGTAGACACAGAGAGAAAAAATATTGCAATATACAGTTCTCATTTATATTTATATTTTAACAGAAAAAATCATTATTATTAGATTACATCTGATTTAGCAACTTAAACATCTGTTCCCATGCCAGTAAAACACTGTTGAATTTAAATGAGAGAATGGCTGTATGTATAATCTATACAAATATGAAGGCCTGAATGAATAGCCAATAAAATGACCAAATCAAAAGTACTAAGTGATGGTACAATATCTCACAAAAATTAGGACATCCCGAACATTTTGTCTTTTCATGTGACAACACTAAAGAAATGGCACTTGCTACAAAGTAGTGAGTGTACACCTTCAAATCAAATGCACAGTATAACACATGCTTAATTACATCCTTATTAAATGGCATTTAACAACTATATACCAAGCATAAATTGCTCATAATAAAATTGTGTGAATATAAAAAATATATACAGAATAGTCGCTTTGGATAAAAATGTTAGCTAAATGAATGTAATGTAATAAAAATAGCTATCAAAAAACATACAGGCATTGATATGATAAGCTTCGTTGAGGTTAGGCCTATTTAGTGTGAAGCATTAATCACCTATTTGTTACTGAAATGATTTTAGTAATAAATCCTCATATCATAAACAAAATAACTTAACATAACACTAAAATATATTTTAACTGTGTATAACTTACCAAAAGCGTTTAGTCGGTGCCCGAAGCATTGTAGTCTTGTCCATGTGTTCAACTCAGCGGCTTTGACGATATTGGTCCCGCTATCTGTGTTTGCTGCATGGGTTTCTCTTTTGACACAGCTGGGGCTGGGGGTGATGTTTCAGGGACAGGTTGGCTTAAACTTTTATGGTGCTCCATCTTCTGACTCTCAAAATATTCTATTGAGTGGAAACGCTTCAGATTTTTTTTTGCAGCACACTGAAACCTGAAGTTTATCAGATCTTAGATAGCCGAACCACTTCCACACCACCGAATTAGTCTTTCCTCTCTTATCAACTATTTCATCTGCTTTCTCCTCACTCGTGGAAGCTCATTCAGTCACATTTGTATTGCGGTCATGGGCACTCATTTTGTAGCTAAAACTTACCGCGTTGGAGCTTCACCTAGCTTAGCCTACTACCGCTGAGCACAGCCTACTGATGCTATGCACGGGCTCTGTGTCTGTGGTGTTCGTCATCACTCACATAGCCAATTGTGTAGCGCTCTTTCTGTTTCGGCTTGAATCGGCTGTGCTCTGAACATCAGTCAGGGACAAATGGTGTAATCATAGACTGTAATGTATATCGAAATATCAGAAATGTGTTTTAAAATCATATCACCGTTATTGAATAAAAGAATATCGGGATATATATTGATATTGAATTATGGTCAAGCCCTAATCTTGAGTTATATTTATAGTTTTCAGAGGAGTCTGACAACTGTTTTTTAAAGAAATGAGGGACCATGGAGATGAGGTTAATGAAGTAAATTAGGGATGCAAACTAGTCCTTTTAAACTATTTAGGAGATGTTTGTTTTGGATTTTAATGCTCAAATTGAATGCTTAGTAATTATCCAGAGATCCTAGAAAAAAATTAGGCATCAAGATGCATCAATAATCATTTTATAATCATATCGCAGCCCTCTGAATCGTAATCGAATCGAGAGTAGCCAAGAGATTCCCATCCCTAATAGAAACACTGTGTAACATATTCTATGAAGGAAAACAAAGGGGTTATATATAGTAATATATACATTATGTATCAGGCTATTTATGTTTGTTTATTTCAATCCATATTGTTGTGACAACTTTGTATTCAAGCAATTGTAGCGGAGAAGTATCTACGGGTCGCAGTAATTGTAAAACCTCATACCTGAATTTGTCCTCCACTCTGGTAAAGTGACTAACGAAAAGTCATTTTCAGCCCTGAAATAGGAAAACTGAATTAAATAAAGTATGTTAAATAAATTAATAAAATATTCATTCATTCAGCTTCCACTTAATCAAATGCATATGACCAGTATAACAACATTTCAAATAATGTATCAGCAAAAATATGACAGTTAAAAGTTGAATTATCTTAACACCCACCTGCACTGATTCCCTGTCTGTGTTAGAAAGAGTAGAGTCACTGTGACCAACAAATCTGTGTGGATGCCTCCAAGCATGGCTGATCCCTTAACGGCAGCTTCTCAGCAGCTCTCTCTTTGATGAGTTGAAGAATGAATGATGAGCAGTAACTGTTGTGGAGCCGTGCTGTGGAACTACAGCTTATGTGACACTGTAACTGCCAGCACAGAGGTTTGGACCCTTGTGTGTAGTTTTCAGAACAGAGTGGAGGGTTTTTATAGTCCCACCACCTAACCAGGTAACCTCAGCAGTGGGTGGAGACAGACGGCTGGAGTACAGTGTGACATGAAAGAGACTGGGTTAATGGCATAAAAAAATTGTGAAAGTGATAGCAGCAACACAGTTACTGTAAATATAATGTGTGATAGGCAAGGTCAGGGTTTAATGTTTTTAGGTCGTAAAAAGCACTGAGACCAAGGTAAACTAACACTGTACAAATGCTTGACTAAATAAATGAATGATTTAATAAAGCGTTGTTTGTAAAAAGAGTAACAAATAGATTGGACACAAAATAAAACAGCAATTGTTTTTCACCATAGTTAATCATATATTGACCACAAAGACTGAGATTGAAATAAATTGGAATCTGTGACACAATTTTAGGATTTCCTCAGATTGATCAACTTTTCACTTTTAAACTAAAGACATGTAACCAGTCCCCAGATGGGAGGCCGATGTGTTATTATTACTTTTATTATTATACTATTATACAATATGTAGCTATTAAAGTAAAATGTAACCCACTGGTATATGGGTATATGTAATACCTATCCTTTCTATTCCAAAAGTTGTAAAGAAAGCAAATTAAGTATATAATAAATCAGTGGTAGGCAGGAGTGGATGAACCCAGTTAAAGTTTCACTGGTCAACACTACACCTGGCATTGTATTGGTTGGGGTCTTTTGACAGAGTTATTGCACAAAAATCAGAGAGCAGAGCAGAAATCTGAGAGAATATTTCACAAGCGCACAGAAACAGCCTGAGCACAAGTAGAAGGGCTGAAGATGGAGTGCAGGAAATCTGTGCAAACAACAATATATGAGTTCAAGCGTGGACTGGCCAACGTTAGACCTAGATGTTTTCCCGGTAGGCGGATGGACAGTTGGGCAGATAAACCACATAATATTAAAAATAAAGACAAAAACCTGCAGTTGAAAATTGATTTGTATCTGCCTGCAACTGACCCAAAGTGTGTGGTTACTGGCCCGGACGGGGATGCAGGGCTGTTTTGATATGATTGGCTATGCCAAACAATCCCACACTCCACATTAGAACATAATGAAATGGTTGAAACGTAGACCTCTGCCTGGATATTTGTGCTTCAAAAATCATGGATTAAAAACATGCACAAATGTGATACTAAAAAGTTGAGGGAGGAAAAAACGTCGCTTGAGTCAGGTGCAGCAAAGTCTCAAAATTGAGGATGCCAGCAGCCCAAGTTCCTGCCATTCTAAAATATAAAAAAATTACTAATAACACAACTATTCATTCCATTATTATTTTTTCCCCCAATAATCTCTAATAGTATATTGTATTACATTGTTTTTTCTTTTTTACCTTTTCTTGTTTAATAGTAATGGCAGAGTTTAGGGATTAACAAAGTACAATCATAACCATAATCATATAAACAGAAATCTATCTGTCCAGATATGTCCAGATATTGTGGCCAAAGTTTGTTAAATAGTTGCTTTTATTTACAAATTTAAAAGTAAACTTGTGTGGGCAGCAGGGGCATTTCCAATGTACTGCTATACTCTCATTTTCTCCTCCTCTCCCCTCCACAGGTCCTATATTTTCCTTTCCTTTCCATTCATCATGTCTTTGCTCACCTTTTTTCACCTTTCCTTGGCTCTCCCTCCCTTTCTTCCTGGATATGTGTGCTTCAGAAATCATGGATTAAAAACATGTGCAAACGTGATGCTGAAAAGGAGGAAAAAAAGGAGGCAGGTGCAGCAAAGTGCTTCAAAATTACAGACAGCCGGCGGCCCCAGTACTAGTGCTGACATGGGTGAACATGAAATAGACAGCATAGATGAGGGCAATAGCAAAGCAGTCAAAGCCAGTACACCCTGTAGATCCTAAGCAAAGCACCAGTGATATGGTAAGATTGATGATATGGCTTATTTGACAAATGAGGTAGCTAACAGTTACACAGGTATCAATAAGACACTAATTTGATGGCTGAGGTGATTAATTTAGTTGAAGAGAGCTAGATACGTGTTTATAGGTTTGAAAATGTATTTTATTGGCCCATTTTGGGCCAAAGGTTTAACTACAAAGGTATTTGATGGCATGTTCTGTTCTGCAATCAAAGCTGATAATCCTTATCAATTTCACATGCAGTAAAAGGGCAACAAGATATTTTCATTTGCAAATCAGAGCTAATCCTCCAACTGCATCACACTTAGCAAAGATAAGCTAAAAATGAGCCATTAAGAGTGCCAACTTATGCAGTCTATACTCTTGAAAAGTACAAAATGTGTACATTGTCACATGATGTAATAAAACAGGCTCAAGAAGTGTATGGTTGAGTATAAGTAGTGTATGTCAGCTAGATAGCAGCGCACACTGTAAGTACAGGTGGAGCAAGAATGATAAGAAAGAGGTGCTGACTGATACGCCTAATGTGACATTCCTGAAGCCCCGACATTCCTGGTATGTGTCAATAGAGAGGGTGGACCAATACAAATATTAGAGCTCTTTAAAACTGGCCACCCTAAAACAAGGTCTTTGTTGGTTAACAGTTACAAAATATTATGTATATCCAGAATATAATAAGGTATTGTGCTTGTTGGCAAAGAGAAGGCAATGTAATAACTATCTTCAGAAAATCTACAGTTATCTAAAAACAAACCAGGCTGAACAGATCATCAAGGTTTTATCTCAGAGTCAGTCTGATGTGTCTAAGGCGTGTGATGAATGCCATAGGAAGTGAGTTATAAATTGACCCATAGGGTTGTGTTCGGATCGGGGACTGACATTTTAAGAGGATTTAACATGAAACAAAGCAGATAATAATAATAATAATAATAATAATAATAATAATAATAATAATCCTTATTTGTAGAGCACTTTTCAAAAACAAGTTACAAAGTGCTAACAAGTGTAAACAATAATACAAAAAAAACAAGATAAGAGCATGAAAAATTCATATAAAATTAGTAAAAATACAATAAAATAAAAGGTATAAAATAAAGTCAAATAAGATCGGGAAAGGCTCTGCTATGAAAGTATGTTTTAAGAAGGGACTTAAAAGAGTTCACTGACTCAGCCGACCTGATTTCCTCGGGCAGGCTGTTCCAGAGCCTCGGGGCCCTGACAGCAAACGCTCTGTCCCCTTTAGTTTTCAGTCGAGACTCTGGAACAGACAACAGACCTCTGCCCGAGGATCTCAAGTTACGTGCTGGTGCGTATGGGACTAAAAGGTCAGAAATATAACAAGGCGAGAGGTCATGAAGAGCTTTAAAAGTGATCAATAGAATTTTAAAGTCAATTCTAAAACGTACTGGGAGCCAGTGTAATGAAGCTAAAATAGGAGTAATGTGGTCATATTTCTTTGTTCTGGTTAAAAGCCTGGCAGCTGAGTTCTGGACAGTCTGGAGTCGATCAATAGATTTTTGGGTTAAACAGGTGAAAAGGCTGTTGCAATAATCCAGGTGTGATGAGATGAAGGCGTGTAAAATGGTCTCGGTGTCCTTAAAAGTTAACATAGATCGAATTTTTGCTCTATTTCTAAGTTGATAAAAACATGATTGAACAAGCTTTGTGGTGTGCTGCTCGAAATTTAAATTCAAACCAAACACCAAGGTTCTTTGCCACAGGCTTAATGTGATTTACTAGGGAACCAGCAGATGGCAGTATTTGATTTGCCATCTGCTGAGACCCGATGACCAGGATTTCTGTTTTGTCTGAGTTCAGCTGGAGGAAATTATTTGACATCCATTTTTTTACTTCGCAAAGGCTGACGGGCAAGTATATTTGTGTGTCATCAGCATAAATATGAAATGAAATGCCATGTTTATGGATAATATGTCCAAGGGGAAGCATATACAAGGAAAACAAAATGGG